TTTCATTTCTCCATATTCTTACCTTCTTTTACAAGTAGCGCGAAATTTCCGTGTCGCAGCTTCAGATTTTGTGTATCAAGTAATCACATAAAATAATCAAAAGCTAAAACAACTTACACCTGCAGAACGTCCTTGTTTATAACTAGCTTCTCGCATTGCTTTGTCAGCAAATCGCTTCTCAATCTTTTGAAGTCTCTTTTAGAATACGGTAATTTTTGAATGAAAACGAATTACCCTTCGTTTCTTCCACTCCAAAAATGTATGCAACGTGACTTTGGTTTGACTAAGTCCAAGAGCTTGCCTCTAAAAGTAGAAAATCGCAAATAAACTTATAATTTAGTTTTAATAAAAAGCTAGACGTGACTTCCGTTTTTAGCATCGAAGCAGTTAGGTCAGTCTAAGCGACCCGAAAATGTAATGTTAGTCTAACGAAGCAAAAATACGCATAAAATAGTAAAAAAAAAGAGATAACTGACAAAGTATAACTTTGGTTCAAGTAGAAGCTAACAGTTCTAGAATACTAAGGACTAATTGCCTATACTTACATTGGATTATTTACCTAGGACTGCATGCAGATACCAAGTAATATTTAAATGCTTAAACTGGGTTTAGCTTGTTACTATGCCGTGAGAATTGAAAAAATACCGGGGAATTGGACGATGTTGCCCCATAAATGTATAACCTGTCCTGAGTAACACCAGTTCAGAATAACATCTTAGTCATAGACGAAATTCATCACTTCTTTTATTACTTTTATTCAACAGGACTAAGACATCTTCAAATGAAATCAACGAACTAATACCCACTACAACGTTGGAAAAACTACTTTAGAAGAGAATTCAAAAGTATTGTTAGCAGTTAAACTTGATCAATGGTTGAAATCAGTTTACATAACCGTCATAAACCGATCGCGTAATACCATGAACTAGAATTATTCCCACAAACACAGGACTTCTGTCTACAGTCTATAACTCCAGAGGCCTGTTCAGGTGGTTCTTCATCAATGCCTTTTCCTAATAAGTGTCAACAAGGACCTGTACGATCGCCAAAGTTTGTAAACTTAAACAAGGACGTTCCACTTAGTAAATCAACATGTACAATCACTTATAGACCACCATAGAATTTAATAAAAACTGGTCTATGTACTGGCTGAATCATAGTGAGCCTTCCGGAGCGTACTACGAAGTTCGAAAGTTAGTAGTTTGTCCTACTACGTGATATACCAAGATACTGACCACTAACGTGAACATACTAATTATTCTTCCGTGGTATTAAAATATCTTTTTATTTACTTTATGCCCTCATTTGAATATGCTTTCCAGTTCGACTATCATGTACGTGATGGATGAAAATTCAAAAAGCCTAGCATTTGTGCCTGCCCTCACATCATTGGCATGTTAACTCTAATGTTACTACTATCGCTTTCCGTCAACAATGGAAGGTGAACCTGGAAAACCGGATAGTATGAATCTGACTGAAGTAAGTCCTTGGATACTTATCCCAATATATGACCAAATTACATACTAGTTTAAATCACAAACCACTCTTATTTATCTTAACACACATGCAAGAAATAAGTGAAATAAGGCAATATCACACAAAAATATCACAAAACGGAGTGGGTACACTAATGGTTATAGGTTTATGGTTTATATATACCTCTCGTTCAACTAAGTCCTCGATGGATATTATCTCTTTTTGTTCTTCCATTTTCTTCTTATCTCGTTGTAAGATGAAACCTGAAAGGATTAGTTACAAACGTAAGCAGACCTGGTGGTAAGGCATGTCTGTAATGACATGTCTTCCCATTCGGACATTCCCAAAACCAACCATACTTGGAATTTTCAACTGCTTCAATAAAGTACTTACATATCTAAGGACCTCTTATAGAAATACTCATAAGTTACAATAGTACTGGGTGGTAATCCTTTATTATCGGCATCATGTTTTCGACTAACCACTTCTTCTAATTTATTTATGTCCCAATCATCCATGGTACTATCAGTCTTATCAGACTCAGAGTAAATTCCACGCTTTTCTGCCTTTCGTTCGACAGTCAAATCGTGGGAAAATTTGCACTTATCACCTTTCGCACATAAACCCTGTTTGAAGAAGACACACAGAACCGACTTTGGATCAACCCCTGGGAAACAAGACTGGTGTGATGTACATCGATCTACCTTTCGCACATTTCTGTAGCTCTAGCACCGGCTTGAACAAATCATTGAGTTCAGCCTTTTCTTTCTTCTTTTCTTCCTTTAATTGCTTTTCGCGCTCCAACTACGTGGTATAAAACTGGGAAATGGTTGCGAACCTCTTTAGCCGACTTGTTACCCTGAGTAACTTGTTTTTGCACTTGTTGGATGAACTTTTGTTGCTTAGCCCCTTTCTTATTTTTCATTCCAAAAGTTTTATCCTTAAAAATTAGTGAACAGAGTTTGTAGACTACCTCAACAATCTTCTGCTTTTGTTTTTCGACATTCTTCTTAGAAGGTTCATTTTTCTTTGGTGGCATTTCGTAAGCACTACCTCCAAACGAACCGCCTCTCCTGAGGTAAATACAAGGCCCAATTTCGCATTTTCAAGAACTCCGATTTAGTAGCACTAACAAACTGGAGACTCAAGTACTTCCCATTATAAGTTAATGCTCATGGCTTTTTTAAATTCTGAATGACAAAGATACGTCACCTAATACCGTGACGAAAGGAAAGGAATAGAGCGCAAAGAAAATAATTGGTTTATACTAGCTCCTGATAAACATTTTGCATATATTGGATATTCGATCTGTTTTCCATGTGACTCATCCAGATTCTGTTCTAAATGGTTACTAAATCTTCGCAATTAAGACAATGTGAGGTGGTTTTACGAACGTGAAAAGCTTGGAGTGCTGATTTTTGAAGAGCCACAACTCCCACTAACCTTTATAGCAACTTAAATACACTTGAGTTTGTATACATTTAATTTGGGTAAGCCCTTTTGAATAACTTATTTAACAGAAGGTCATATGAATAACAAAAACTTATCTTTATCACTATGCTTTTATAATGGTCGTGTTTGTATGCACAGGTATAACAGGGAGCTGCTTACCGCCTACACACGGATTCTACTCGCTTCAATGTTGGCCTATTAAATAATCCGATAACGCAATCATTTTCCGATGTATATATAAGTCCAGTTTCATCTTACTCATTGGCGCATTCACAGCTCACTCATCGGCATTCTCATGTAATTTTCGCTTCGTGCTCTTGTGGATTTGTGTGTGGTGCGATAGTAAAGGTAATCAACGCTTCGTATTTGTCTTTTGATTTATACGCCGTCGGGAGTTATCTAGTAACGGTTATAAGGACGAGCAGTAAATAACGTTTAGGAATATATCGAATACTGACCGCTACAAAATCGGTGAGCTCACATCCGCCACATGTTTTTACACTAAGTTCATCAGTAGTTATTTTAGTATCATTAAGGACATTCTGTCGCTCGACTCGTGAATGAGGCCTTATATAGATGGGTTACAATACCCGAAACATATCTTCATCAGAAAATTTGAATGCTCTATGAAATGACCACAACCAAAGCGAAACCTCTACCACTCGCTTCATACACAATGCGAAAATGAATATCTAATAATTTATATGCTTTACTTGATTCAACCATCAAAAGACTTCACCCATTGGTGATTTCTCACTGCAAAACGCACGTTTTTCACACGTTCATACAAATTTTGTGGGTCTTTTACAACTGGCTCTAATTGATACGGGAGAAATGAAGACATTTGGCTGATCGAAACCTTTATATAAATATCATTATTTTCACTGTGTTTTTTGGGTATATTTGTTTTACTTAACTAATGAACTTGTTTGATTTATTACTTTCGGCCATTTTGATTTCTGTTTGTCTTGGTTTGGTCATTTGGAGTTTTTGCTCCAGGAACCTATAAAAATGAAGAACGACATTGGTCGACTATTTGTAAATTGACGAACGACATTTTGGTCAACTATCTGCGAAATACGAATTAACTTTCGTACCTAACTTCGGAGTTTGGTTCTGTTGTTAATTTGGGTTCGTGAATTGCAAATAGATCGACATACTGTACTTCAATAACTGAAAGGAGCAAAACTTGGACGTAACACTAATTATATATTTACATGTGTATATATGATTACAATTTTTTGGGTACCATACCAGTAACCAACACCACGGCTGAAACAGTTGCAAATGCTCTCACTCAGAAGTGGGTGATAATTTTTAGTGCACCTACCACAATAACGACTGATAAGGGGACCATATGAGTATCAAAACTTATCGAAACTATTAGGCCCTAACAGTACATCATCCTCAAGCTAAAGAGATTGTAAAACGTTTCCATCCTCAATTAAAAGTGACTCTAATACCAGAATGCAAACCCAATTAGTGTAAACAGTTACTCTCATTCGCTACGTCAGAGTTCTACAGAAGAACTAGTCTTCGTGACGACTGGTGAGTTTATCGTTCCTTGTGTTGGAAGTAAAAAGCTCAGCCTAACAAGCTACTTTGATACACTACAACATCAGATGTCCAGATTCAAACCAGCCAATGCTCGCAAACAGTCTCTTTCCAGAGATTGTCGCTTTAAAATTCCGATTTCCTTTCAATTACTGTTTTAATGTTTTTTATTTTAAAATGATGGAAAATAGCAGACGTAAGATGTATTTTGCACACACCTACTCAAAGATATTGACTTTTTACTTCTGAGAGGTTGTGATGCTTAAAAGTATATGAATCAAGAATTAAAGATCTGCACAAACGAATGTATTGTATTTAGAATTCGAAACCAAGCATTCCACAAGAACAAGAAGTTACTAGTTCATTCAAACACCACATCCGCCGCAGCTTAAATTGGAATGTATATGTCTGTAATCAGTGGTACGTCTTCTTCTCAAATTCATCCTGTGTCTGTCCGACAGTGTATTGGATAAAGACTCTGTATTATCTAGAATGCTCTCATTAGTATTAGAATTAACAACCGAAATTGGAACAGACTCACCTGGCTCTTGGAATTGTATTTGATCAACATGTCGATTGTATGTACTTAAGTCATTGATATCTAGAAGTCGCACCATAGATTTCCCGACATTCTTCAGAACAATCCCCGTGGATGGTCGAAGATCATTGCCACGATAATATGTAACTTCTGCAGACTCCAAACATCTCATATTCGACCGAAGAATTCTTCCTTTTAATAGTTTTGATGGAGTCTCTTTCGTCACCGAATGTCTGGCATTTCTATATTGAAGTAGAAAGGTATCTACTCCCCTCTCCAGCTCATTAAATGTTGAGGCGGCAATAGAATCACTCAACCTCGAATGCTGATTTTTCAGCTTATGACACTTTTCGCAATTCTTTGCTGTACGACAAATATCTGCATTTAATGACTGTCGAAAAATGTAGTCAACATGTTGAATTTGCTTGGCACTCCCGTGCTGAACCATTTTCATACTTCCATTGCACTTAGCACACGTGGCTATCAAATCTTTAAGTAAAGCATCAGAATTTTCTTTAGAAACTAGGAAAGACAACTCCACTTTAAGCCTTTTCAAATTCTTTAAACCCAGTATTGACAGTCCTGTTTCACTAACTAAAAATTCACAAGGTATATATGAGGAATTATCATCTCTTATTAGCAATTCACAACATCCTCGTATAGGCAGTTTATGTCCAGTAATCCCCAATAGTGATACATCAGTGGGTCGTATCACAACGTTCGGATCTAACGATTTCAGGTTCTTGAATGAAATAATGGACTCTATACTACCTGTGTCCACAATAAAGTCATGAAATGAACCAAGCGATGTATATAGTCGCTTTTGAATATGAGCATTACCATTCGAAATGGTAGACAAAGATAAATGATCATTAGGATCAGCTGAATTATTGGAATCTAAATTACAAGCTTTAGTACTACTTGAGGCAAAATGAACAGTAGCTTTGCATACTGCTTGAATGCGTCCTATCTTACCACATCTAAAACATTTAGCATTACGAAATGTACAATAATAACGAGAATGAAGTTTTCCACATGATAAACATTTGCCAAACTTGGTCTCACCTTTTTGATTTCCTTTGTAATTCTTTTTTGAGACACCGTTCATTTTTACACGAGAATAGGAACCTCTGTTAAACGAACACAATTTTGATTGACCCTGAGATTGCTTTTCATCATGACAACTAATCAAAGTATTGGAAATCTTCATCGACTGAATATCGAGTTCATTCAACGCCTCGTAGTTAATGCACGCAGTTCTAACATCTTGAAAGGAACAGTTTGACATTCTTAACAGCTCTCTTTCCAAACTAGGTATGTTAATTCCTGCAATTAATCGGTCTCTCAGCTGCACATTAAGTTGATCACCAAAATTACATTTGACAGCCTGTTTCTGCAATTCAAGAATGAATTCCTTAACATTTTGGTCATTTTGACGAATCATCTTATGAAATTTCGCTCTTTCACGGCATTCAAAACCAGGTTACTTTACATGATTCAATAATAACTCCTTAAGCATTGCATAGGGAAGTGAAATAGGTTTTTCTGGATATGCCAAGGTTTTCAATAAGCTGTACGCTTCTTTTCCGATGAATGTTAGGAAATGAGCCACAATTTTATCATCTTTGACATCTTTCCTGGTCATACTCTAGAATTCAAACCTTTCCAAATAATCTTCAAAAGCTTCAGAAGTAGAATGAATATCTAGCTGTTCCATTACAAGTTCCATCACGACGCCACTGTGATGCTTAGAAGTATATGAATCAAGAATTAAAGATCTGCACAAACGAATGTATTGTATTTAGAATTCGAAACCAAGCATTCCACAAGAACAAGAAGTTACTAGTTCATTCAAACACCACAGAGGTATATTCTTTTCTATACCAAAGGCATAGGTGGCTTGCCCATAACAATCCAATGAAACTATAAATCGAAAACTGCTTAACAGGATAATACAGCTAGGAATGAAGGATCTTCACCTGAGGTAAAATCAAGCTCTCAGTAATCAATCGACAGACACCCATCAGTCCATTGCACCTTGAAAGACTACTTGGTTCCATAGACATTCATGGTCGTCAATAGCTTGTGCACCTGGCGGTAAGAAGCCATAATATTCACAACATCAATCATAAATTATTCCTGTGCACTGTATTATTTCTCGCGAAATACAATGAATCCTAAACAACGGGTACGGGTTCTATGGACAGGCTGACTGGTGAAACTTAAAATTTATGATCAAGCACTCCGATTGGATTAAGTTCTTTATGATCCCCTCCAAATGGTTTCCTAAACCATGGGTCCTTACATCAGACAAAGTTAATAGCTAAGCTATGTAAACTAAGAAGACATACTGTATATCAAAAGACTTCAGCATCCTGGACCAAAAGTATTCTGTACTTAATAGTACGAGAAATCAGCTGGAAAGGGATACATGAGTTAAGGAACGTAATGCGCTCGCTACCGTATGTAAATCACAAAACCTCTATCGTCTGTTTAGGTGGAAGAAAATTCATCATCATCAACAGCAACGCAGAACATTGCA